AATAATTTAATATTTTATTTAATTTATGTTTGAACAGTAAAAAAATTAAATTAAAACTATTAAATTTGATCAAAGAAAATAAATAATTAAATACAAATATTAAATGATTCCAGTAAAATTATTATAATAATTTTATATTTTTCCCTATTCGCATTATCATTTTTATCAGCATTGTATTTCCAAGTATTTTTATGGAGAAAAAAATAATTTTTTGGTCCACCTCATCAATTTTTCCCACATAGCATTTCCATGTTTATTTTTGGACCCCATTGATTAACGTATAATTACACATTAACATTGAAAAGAAAAAAGACAAAATGCTTAAACGATTATAGTGCCACGTTGTGACCTAACTGACAGAGGGATTAAAAATGGGTTAGATTTCAAACTTTAAGGATAAAAAAGAGAATTTTTTTTAGTACATGGACCAAAAAGGGATTTTTTAAATAATAGAGGGATCAAAAAGGGTATTTAACCAATATAATAAAATCACATTCAATTCATCCAAATATCAATAAAATTAAGGTTAAAATAGCAAGTTAAAATATATAATTCATCTAATTAAAGTGAAAAATCAAGTTTTTGATACGTAATTTATAATTCTTAAAAATTAAAGAAATGATATTTAACTCTCTATATGCACATAACTCACATTAAAAAAATAATAATAACAATAAGATCAAAAAAGAGTAAAGAGGAGATAGTTGCTTCTTTTCCTAGTTATGCACTCCTAACCAATGAAACAAAACCTCAAGTTATCCTCAGTCTACAATGTTCATATGACTACATTTACCATGCACTTACAAGTCATCTTCACATCCTCATTTGCAACTTCATCATTTTGATTATAACACTTCATAGAATTCCTAATTGGGTATTGAAGATATTTTTAAGATAAGTGAAATCAAAATCTTGATTTTGTACATTGATGATATGAATTTTTATATATTTTTATTTATCACTTTAGATTTGATTTGGTTGATATTTAAATGAATTATATGTGATTTTAATAGAAATTACATGATTTTTATTATTTTCTTGGAATGGATAAAATTTGAAAATAGATTTTTTCTAACCTTTTTTTATTTTTTGGTACTTCTGAATGTACTATATAATAGGGGATAGCCCTCTCTTTTCCTTAAATCCCTTCCCACCCGACTCAATGTTCGAACTTGAGATCTCCAACTTGGTTTGAAATTTCAAGTTCTTAACCATTGAGTCACCATTTTCAGGGTTGATTTTTTCTAACCTATACCATAACGATAAAGGATAATAATGTATTAATTGCACCTTTTTGTAATAAATTTTTATAAGAAAACTTAATATTAAGTATTATTTTTAATTCAAATGCTACATGGAAGATTTTAATTGGATAATTGATGAATTTAAAATTAACTTCTATTTTTTCTATGCAAACTAATGTAAAAAGATGTAATTAATACATCTTTAACCGTTCACTAAGAAAATTTGGGACTCAAGTGCACAAATTAG